AGTTGAAAAACGAGGACGAGGCGGAGGAAGACGAAGACGACGACGACGACGATGACGAATTGGAAAAATACCCGATCCTGGAAGACGCTACTTTCAAAATAAAAGACTTGATCGCGTTGCTTAGTTCTAGGGAGGAGACGCGTCTCAGCAGCCGGATGGGGAAATAGACCAGACGTTCCATACTGCCGGCGTTGTGGTAACAGGTACAATGAGGTTGAGGGTGGGAAGAGCTATGGGGGTGACAGCGTGTGGTTCTCAGCACTTTACGACAGAAACCGCAGCCGAATCATCTTCCGCGTCTAGTACTTGGTCGTTGAAGTCTGACAAAGTGCGGATCTGACGCGTCTTTGATGTTGCGTCGTGAAGGCGTCACCACTTAACGACACGCACACACGTTGTGTTAACCGCTGGCACTGACTCAACCCGTTGACGGCACTGGCCTAGATGTAGCCAGGTGTACAAAGTTGGTTAGGTTCAATCACGTAGAGTGTAATCACTTAGATTTTTTTCCTCAAGCAGATCAGGAGATCAATTGAACTGAGGAGTCAATATTAAAATCTCGTTAAGTTCATTCGAAAAGGATGTAATCGTAGAACGGTATGACTGCTCCAAAATATTTCTGTGTTATTCCATGCTTAAATATTCACAGAACACTTGTCATAGCCTTTAGCAATCATGATTTCATTTCATCAGGGATAAAAGCTGAATTCTGAATCATTAATCTGGGGAGATTTATTTTTGTTTTGACTGAAAATCTGTTAATATTAGCATTTTAATGCCTAGATTTATGTCACACAGCAGCGAGTCGGAGATCAAACATAGACATACAACATAGCTCACACGACTAAACGTGACCTCTCAATAACTCCGTTCATAAAAATAGTATTTTTAACTGAGTAACCTTTGAAGGGTCAAGTATTTGGTGAGTCGAATATTTGAGAATCTACAAGTAACTCAACTTTTGCCAATCGACTCGCGAGCGCCCCGCGCAATGGTTTTCATTTGATTTGTTACAAAGCATCAGTACGGTCATCAGTCTGACCTGGTCGCCATCTGGGGCATCTGCCACTGTGGCCCTTGCGCTTGAGACCGTGTTAGGGATAACGCAGATGCATTTCAGTTGATTTGCGTATGTGTCTGGTGTGTTCGTGTGAACAGATGGCAGATGAAGGACTATGTCATGTACACCTAGGCAGTGGAACAGAAGGCAGATGAAGGACTATGTCATGTACACCTAGGCAGTGGAACAGAAGGCAGATGAAGGACTTTGTCATGTACACCTAGGCAGTGGAACAGAAGGCAGATGAAGGACTATGTCATGTACACCTAGGCAGTGGAAGAGATGTCAGGCAGATGAAGACTATGTCCTGTACACCTTGGCAGGGGAATAGATGGTATATGGAGGACTATGTCCTGTACACCTTGGTAGTGGAACAGATGACAGATGAAGGACTATGTCCTGTACACTTTGGCAGTGGAACAGATGACAGATGAAAGACTATGTCATGTACACCTAGGCATCGGAACAGATGTCAGGCAGACGAGGACTATGTCATGTACAACTTGGCCAAGGAACAGCTTTGTGGTTCTATCTCTAATGCAATGCTTGCCCATCAGACAACCTTGTATCATGTCTGAATTTTATACAAGAGCAAATACAGGTGGATGTTTCCTAATCCCATTTTAAAAGACAATGCACGAGGTCACGCTTGTGTGTACTCGTAAAACATTTGATTTCACAAATATAAATACGCGCGCATTTAACTTTGTGAAAGTAGGAATGTAAAATTTCATGTTTTGTTACAAACGGTTTTAATAAAGCGAATGTCTGAGACAGAATTTATTACGACAAATAAAGTATGTCAGTGGGAACGCGAGACAATAATATAGTATATGGTTACCGTTATCGATTTGTATGATGTACTTATTTTTTTTTTAAAACTCAATAATATGTGATGACGACATACATCTGGCGTTGTCTATTATTCTCTAATGTTCTTGCCGTTGTTCAACTTTTTAAAGTATGATGTTCTTAAGTTCGCATTGGTGTTTCCAAAAAATCCGAGAATTCAAATTTGTATGGTTCTAATTAATATATATCGCTGACAATGAAGACATGCAAATTTTGTTGGCATTGATAATTGAATTAGTTTTAAGTAAAAATTAATGTAAAAACACACTCAACAGAACTGCAGCACACATTTAAAATTTTTAAAAAATAGACACTCCAATAAAATAATGTATGTTTCCTAATGTTAATTAAATCATCAACAAAAATGTGTAGGTCTATAACTGAAGGTGCATGGGAAATGCCAGGGCTAACACACAAGGCTATGTGTTACTTTGGGTTGATAGCACAATATTTAACATGGTTTTAAGGAGATACACTGTCATTCGGTGTACGGTAGCACTAGTAGCAGCAGCCTTCAAATGGTTGGGGGCTAAAAAGGTCATTTTATTTTTACAAATATATAATCCTAACAATTTCTAATGCTAATCAAGATTAATGGAAACCGAATAAGGTACTTCTGGAACTAACGTCTAACTAGAAGGCTTTGGTTAATATTGATGTATGCTAAATATATTCAAGATGCATCTGAGACAAGGAGACAAACATTGAACGATCAGAGGGCTAAAATAATTCATTCTAATTTCCTGGCACTTGACCCAGACTTAAACCCATTGATAGATTCCTCGTGATGACCATAATGCTCATTATTGTACGAGTTGTTGCAACTGATGTAACTGACGATAAATGGATTGCCAGAGCACCCCACATACAAATAATTATTGAAATAAATAGACATAGTTGTAATATCTATATGTATATCTATATCTAACCCTGAAAACACCACAAGAACGAAAACTGTAAAAATGGAAAAAAAGGGAAAAGGGGGGCGGCGGACTTTGCTTTGAGACCTTGTGTCCTGGTGCTTTTGTGCATTTGGTGGGGTGAGGTGGGGTGGGGGGGTTGAGGGTGGTGGTCTTAATGTGTCGGACGTCCGTTTAAAGTGCTAAAGATATCCATTTTAAAAATAACACATTTAGTCATGACCCATAAATCCACATAGTATATTATGCCGAACTCACAAGTAAATGTTGAAGTGACAGGTCTATAGCAAATGTTGAAGTTACAGATGTAGAGCAAATTTTGAAGTTACAGATATAGAGCAAATGTTGAAGTGACAGGTCTATAGCAAATGTTGAAGTTACAGATGTAGAGCAAATGTTGAAGTTACAGATGTAGAACAAATGTTGAAGTTACAGATGTAGATCAAATGTTGAAGTTACAGATATAGATCAAATGTTGAAGTTACAGATATAGATCAAAAGTTGAAGTTACAGATATAGATTAAATGTTGAAGTTAGAGATATAGATCAAATGTTGAAGTTACAGATATAGATCAAATGTTGTAGTTTCAGATATAGATTAAATGTTGAAGTTAGAGATATAGATTAAATGTTGAAGTTACAGATATAGATCAAATGTTGAAGTTACAGATATAGATCAAATGTTGTAGTTTCAGATATAGATTAAATGTTGAAGTTAGAGATATAGATCAAATGTTGAAGTTACAGATATAGATCAAAAGTTGAAGTTACAGATATAGATTAAATGTTGAAGTTAGAGATATAGATCAAATGTTGAAGTTACAGATATAGATCAAAAGTTGAAGTTACAGATATAGATTAAATGTTGAAGTTAGAGATATAGATTAAATGTTGAAGTTACAGATATAGATCAAATGTTGAAGCTTCATATATAGATACAAAAATTTAAGTTACAGATATAGTTCAAATGTTGAAATTACATATATAGATCAAAGTTCAAAGTTACATTTATAGATGCTCTTGAGACTTCAACATTGTTACAACCAAATGGGTCTCTACATCATTACTTTTCTATTTAAGTAAATTTTTGTTAAAAATACTCAACGAATGGCGGCGGCGAATTGTAATAGATCTACCAGAAGATGAAGATTCTGTATGGGTAATGTATAATAATTATGTGCTCAAGTACGATACAAAAATCTACCATATATAAACGCTCATGCACTTCTCATTCTGTGGTCAATGGTGAAAACACATTGTTAATGGTATAACTAACCGCATACACATGCTACCGCATCACCATTCTTATCAGAAAACGTAATTAGTCAAATGATCATTTGAACCATTAATTTGCATCGAGTGCAAGTTAAAGGCGCCGCAGATATACTCGTACATGCGATGTTGATTGCATTACCAAATTAGAACAGTGACAGACGGACGACCAAGTGTATTTATCCCGTGGCAAGTACCATTCCTGATGACATGCCCTCCCTTCACCCCCCCCCCCCCCCCCCCCCCCCCCCAAAAAAAAAAAACAACAACAAAAAACAAAAAAACACCTTTGTATCAATACCACTTTGTGAGTGAAAACCAATCAACACCAGAAGACTGGGCCAATGCAATTCAAATGGACAACGTCGTTAATGCAGTACTACTGTTATATTAGTCAAGCTATAAACACAATAGACACAATCTATCAGTTATGTGAACTAGATATTACATTCCAAGGAAACTAGATAATTACAATCCAAGGAAACCAGATGATTACAATACAAGGAAACGAGACAATTACAATCCAAATAATGTAGACCATTAGAATCCAAAGAATAACGGCTAAAGTTAAAGACATTAAGACAAGCATAATTTATAGGTCAAGTGTTACTTCTCTTTTTTAAAAAAAGTTTTTTTTTTGACCGGTCATGCACTTTAAGACTAGGCCCTTGACCGACATGTTAGCACCACCCCCCCCCCCACACACACACAACTACTGACATATGATACACCCACCCCGGACTTCAGCGGCCCAAAACACAGTTGTGTCCACTGTCCCAGGCGTACATACAGCCAGCAGACGTGTCGTCGACAAATAAGAAGTATGTCACTGGTGTTATCTTAGTGACCTGTATCTTTGACCTGCCCTTACCCCCCCCCCCCCGCCCCCTTTTCCTAACCCGGCTACTTGTGTACGCATAAACGGGATGTCACATAGTACGGATACCAAAGGTGTGTGCACCATTCTACCATCTCATCACCTTGATGTCGACCAGATTTACCTTGTGCTGATTCCTGGAGACGGTTTTTAACAAGAAAAAAATAATTCTATCGGATTTAACTCACCTCAAGAAATCTACCCCGTGACTCAATCGCTAAGGTTTTCTTGCTACAATTCTAAACAGTTGTTTCCGCCAAACTGCCAAAGTGGATACGAAATGAAACTTGTCGCGCCGACTATCATTGTTAACTATAACGGCGCCATTCAAGAGTCCGTTTGTGTGCGTCTTAGGTATGAAAAAAAAATGATATGAGCCCTTTTTCAACTTTAAAATTTAATTAAATTGAACAAAAAGCCACTATTAAGGTTTGTGTTTCAATGCACATGACGGACATGACGGACATGACGGACATGACGGACATGACGGACATGACGGACATGACGGACATGACGGACCGGCATTCTTTGAAGAAGTCAGTCAGTTGAACTTAAGGCCGTGATATCCTTAACGTGTTTGCGTTATCCCATATACCCGATATCCCAGATAGTCCATATCCCAGTTAGTAACATTTACATATCTTAATAATGACTTATGATTTTGGCGTTTGCGTGTACTTAAGTCTATGGACTTAGATACATTTATAAAGCATTGTTTTGGTTTTTATGCAAATAACTTTCGATTGGGGGTCTATGATAGTTACCTATATTTTAAAAAATTAAGTTTCTATATTTACATATTCATCTCATAATACTGAAGTTTAGAGAGGGTCAGGGCGTCTTTTATAAACGTATGGGTTATTGAACATTATAAGTTATTGAACATTATAAGTTATTGAACGTTATAAGTTATTGAACATTATAAGTTATTGAACATTATAAGTTATTGAACTTTATAAGTTATTGAACATTATAAGTTATTGAACATTATAAGTTATTGAACATTATAAGTTATTGAACATTATAAGTTATTGGACATTATAAGTTATTGGACATTATAAGTTATTTGACATTATAAGTTATTGGACATTATAAGTTATTGGATATTATAAGTTATTGAACATTATAAGTTATTGGACATTATAAGTTATTGAACATTATAATTTATTGAACATTATAAGTTATTAAACATTATAAGTTATTGAACTTTATAAGTTATTGAACGATTGATAAAATATGTAATTTGTCAACGTGTTTCTCGTGTTTGTTAACTTCCGTAGCTCGGCGTCTTAGGCTATCTGACCACTGCAGCCTTTGACCTCCGATATGGGTTTGACCTTTAGGCAACGCACAGACAAGGGCAAGCTCGTCGTCCATCTGCTGGTGGTCACTTTCGGCATTACGTCATGGTCAATACTTAACGGGCTGTGGGTGGAGCTGCCCATTCTTGTGGCACATCTCCCTGAGGGCTGGACACTGCCGTCCTACCTGACCATCATATCACAGGTGAATGCATGCATGCATCAATAGTAACAACCCACACAAACTAGACATCTTTCTACTTAAGGAACTATTGGAGGAAAAATGTTTGAAAACTATTTTTTGTAAAAATTAGTATGATGCATCCCACCTATTTCATCACAAATACCTAAAAATCAGCTCAAAATGTGCGAATTGTTTTTCTTAACGTTAGGACCGAAAGATATTAAAAATATTTTTCCCGTATCTATAAGAATTTACCAGCCAACCCCCCCCCCTCCCATAGCGGTCACCACATTTAAAAGATAACTAATTAAGTCATTATGGTCACCATAAGAGTTCATTAAAAAAAGCTGATTTCTACGCTAAAGAAATACTTTAGATGTCTTGTGTTTAAATTGTTATAATTCTGAACTGTCTCGGTTAAAATATGTATTTATTTATGTGGCTGAAAATGAATATCTACAATGTAATGAAAAAAAAATAATTTCCATTTATTTGGATCAATAAAGAATCTTATGGTATCTCGTCACCAAATATGTATAGCAGGTTTATCACATTTTGATGTGATTATTAAGTTTGTTCACTAATGGCGCCCTAGGGAGTCCATTCATGCCAGCTGATCTTTTCCACTGGTTCAATCTCATGATGTTGTTTTCTGTCAATTCATTGTGTTCCCTTGCTTCGCATTGAGAAGGCCTCTCAAAGTGTTCTATTCTGTCACATCAATGTGTCCCTTCTTGACATACTGCGACTGCCTAGCATGGTGTTCCCTACTTTCACATCATCGTGTCCCGACTCTCTTCACATTAAGCGGGTCTCTCATGGTGTCCCCCTCCTTTGACATCATTGTGTTCCCTAATATCACAATGATCACATCATTGTGTTCCCTCCTTTCACAGGATTGTGTCTACTCTAGTCACATTAATCTGGACTTTAATAGTTTTCCGTACTATCCCATCGTTGTTCCCCTCCTCTCTCCCATCATTGTGTCTCCTACTGTCACATCATTCTATTCCCTCCGGTCACATCATTGTGTCTCCTCCTGTCACATCACTGCGTCTCTTCCTGTCACATCATTGTGTCCCCCTTCAAGTCACATCAATGTGTCTTCTCCTTTCACATTACTGTTTCCTCTTTTGTCACACGATTGTGTCTCACAATGTCACATCACTGTGTCCCCTACTGTCACATCACTGTGTCCCCTACTGTCACATCATTCAACTCTCTCTGGTCACATCATTGTGTCCCCTCCTGTCACATGACTGCGTCTCCTCCTGTCACATCATTGTGTGCCCTCCTATCACAAGATTGCGTCTCCTCCTGTCACATCATTGTGTCCCCTCCTGTGACATGACTGCGTCTCCTCCTGTCACATCATTGTGTCCCCTCCTGTCACATGACTGCGTCTCCTCCTGTCGCATCATTGTATCCCCTCCTGTCACATGACTGCGTCTCCTCCTGTCACATCATTGTATCCCCTCCTGTCGCATGACTGCGTCTCCTCCTGTCACATCATTGTGTCCCCTTTCAGTCACATCGCTGCTCCTGTGTCCCCTCGTCACAGAAGCACCTACTCTACCCGATCAATGCATAGCCCGGAATGAAAAAACAAACATCAGCATTTGTTATCAGTGCAACCACTTGAACACTATTTACGCTATGTCACCGTAGGCCTGTACCTGTGCAGCAGCCAGTAGCTACATGTGACATGCATGGGCGTCTCTTCTGTGGCTTTTCGTAGGCACTCTTATTGTGGTTTAGCTCTTTTATATAATGTGTTCTTGCAGATAGGTCGGAACAACGGCTTATATTTGCTACATTTACTCCAGCATGAAATCTGTTACGTTCACTGTACCGTGAGGGGTTCTTTTTAATAAGAGAACTTATGCACGTTACAATGGCTGGTTCCTTCATGTAGGATAGAGGAATTATTCAAAGATGGCCGTTCTCGACCAGCAGGCGTCAAATTTTTATCTAGATCAGTGGTTCTCAACCTTCCAAATGCCGCGATACTTTAATACAGCTCGTCATGTTGTGGTGACCCCCAACCATAAAATTATTCTCGTTGCTACTTCATAAATATGTGTTTTCCGATGGTCTTAGGTGACCCCTGTGTAAGGGTCGTTCGTAAACCCCCCCCTGGGGTCGTGACAAATTCGTTGAGAACCACTGATCTAGAGAGTATCGTTATTTAGGTGTACTGTGAGCGTATGTAATGTTTGTCTTGTTTAGATGATTAATTGTTATGCTCTTCTATTGAATGATGATATCAGACAAATAGTACTTTTGAAACCAATGTTAATCAATGATAGCAGTATTAATTTTGTCACGTGACATTCTTCAATTATATAATAGAGTACTCCTTAGCTTTTGATGTCACTTTTTGGTGGGGGTGGTAGTTGAGAGGGGTGAGGGTGTGGTCATTTTTCCGCAAAAAAAATATTTTAACAAAATTAAGGAGACATACGCTTTTTACAATTTTTGGAGAGGGGTTTGGGGGGGGGGGGTTGGGGGGGGGGTAGGGGTGGGGTTGGGGGGGTGGGGGTAAGGCTGTGTAAGCAAACAGACTCAAAATGAGTCTTAACTGCACACTGTAGGAACAAAATTAAGGAGACATACGCTTTTTACAATTTTTGGAGAGGGGTTTGGGGGGGGGGGGGTTGGGGGGGGGGGAGGGGGGGGGTTGGGGGGTGGGGGTTAAGGCTGTGTAAGCAAACAGACTCAAAATGAGTCTTAACTGCACACTGTAGGAAAGCTATTCCTAAAAAGACACCGCTTTTTGCAATTATTTAAATCAGGCTAATTACTTAAGCCAAATAATCTAGCTTGAGCCGATATTCTAGTAGATAGTGGAGAATTAAAAGTTTATGAAAAGTATTTAGGATAAAAGTTACATAAAATTGCTTAAGAAATGTTTTTTAATATGAATTTTTTTTAGTCTAGTTGTGTAGAAAAGAAAGAACAACTCTGCTTCAGGCGACAATGTCTGATGCCCCGTTTATCTCCCTTATTATACCTCACTTTTGTTTGACCAGCTCTGTGCATCTATCTTCAGCTTGGTAATGTTGGGCCCATAGCCTTCAGTTTTCTGGTGTATTTGACCCCGAACCGGAAGTTGGAAACTCCAGCATGTATTGTCATCGTGACGGTTCTCACCTTGTGCGCCTTGCTGTACTCCTTCTTCTGGTCTCAAACGGCCATTGTTGCCGGACAGGACTTCAGGTTAATATGTTGTGATTTCGTGATTTCCATCTAAATTGGACTTTGTTTGAAAATCTTTTTAATTAACTTTTAGATTTTCATCTTGGAATCTCATGTATTTAAACAAGCACGTGCTCAAGGGTGAAATAAAATATCCCCCAAAAAGTTTTAAAATCCGAATCACATAATCTCAAGCTTCTTATCTCAAGCACATAATCTCAAGCTTCTTATCTCAAGCACAAAATCTCAAGCTTCTTATCTCAAGCACATAATCTCAAGCTTCTTATCTCAAGCACATAATCTCAAACTTCTTACCTCAAGCACATAATCTCAAGCTTCTTATCTCAAGCACAAAATCTCAAGCTTCTTATCTCAAGCACATAATCTCAAGCTTCTTATCTCAAGCACATAATCTCAAGCTTCTTATCTCAAGCACATAATCTCAAGCTTCTTATCTCAAGCACATAATCTAAAGCAAAATGTCTCAAACACATAATGGACATATTTAAACAGGCATCGTCAATTTGAATTTTAAAAAAAAAAAATTATTTTAAAATAATTTTTAAGTCACGTTTCTTTATCTTTGGTTCCCCCCCCCCCCCCCCCACATACGCACCATCAGTGTCGCCCTACTCAGCCTGACCTTTTGTCAAGCCGTGTTTGCCGCCACCACGTCTATCGCTTACCTGGCGTTCATGGCCCACCTAAGGGCTCAGTACATGGGCAGCATCTTCATCGGAATGTCCCTCAGTGGTCTCATCCCGGCATTCGCTGCCATCGGCCAGGGGTCCGGTGACGTGCGGTCAGTACTGGTGAATATATTATGACGTATGTCTGTAGTGGTCGGATGTCTGCGCATTGCGAGGTCTTTACCAGTGAATCGAAGTTTGTGTCTGTCAAATGGCTGAGTTTTTTTTTTTTTTCTAGGGTCATTACACGTGAATCTGTTTGTCTTGAACAAATGTCTGATTTTGTAAACTGAGAATTCACGACTGCAGGTAACTTCGTCAATCCGAGGTGTTACAACATTCAGTTAGCTGATGTCCTTAACTTGTTATTGCGGGTTGTTGTGGAGCATGAGAGTAGTAGCATTCTAGGTATATCTACTTATACTGCTGTGTGACCAGTTTTCCTCAGCGAAAATTGAATAATTGATACAATAACAGAAAAGTTGCTATTCAAAAAAAAAATGTAAATTATATTTGAAACAATGTTACAGGTGTGTTACAAATGTCTCGATCCACAATAATGCCACACCAGGGTTGGCAACGATTTTCCCTGTCGACACAACCTTGAGGGATGGAGAATTTGATTACATGTGTAAGTAAAACTAAAGTAGTAGGGACACAATTACTGTTAAGAGGGGAAAAAAAAACGTTTCAGGGGTAGCTAAGACGACCATTTTTTTTACCAGGAAAAAAACAACAACAACACAAAAACAACGAACAACTTTATTATTATGATTTTTTTAAAAAAAATATAAAACGGTAAATTTTAAACAAATAAATTCTGGAAAGTATTGGGGCTATTCAATCTATTTATGCTTAGATTTCAATAAGTAACTTTAGGTAGACGTTTACAAAGTCAGTCTCAGAAAAGAATTTCTTCTTTATGAGAACTAACTTGAGGTCAGTCTCCTGCTTAGTTCATCCAGGCTTCACGACCTTTTCCAACACACCTTAGTTGAAACAATTTACTTAACGGGCCGAACAATAAAACAACACTGTCTTGCATTTATTTAAAAGATTTAATCCAATCTTTTAAAAAATATTGTAAAAAAAATTTAAAATGCAACATATTTTTAATTAAAAATTCAATTGTGCCCAAATACTTGCGACACCTTACACAATAAATAAGAGTTCACAGGAGACTACTCCTATATTTTGTTTGAAAATGTTTTACGCACTGATCTCCCTTTGACTTCCACCTTCTCTTCCTTAGCGCCCTTCAACTGGACGACACGCTTCACTCCTAATGTCACGTCAAGTGAATTGCCAGAAGCCGGGAGAAGTAACGGACCGTTGTACGACGTCAACACCACCAACACAATACGCGGGACCTCTGTTCAGGCTTACAACGTGGAGCCTGTGTTCTCCGTGCAGGGCTTCTTCCTGCTGCTGACCGCCCTGGGCGCCCTGTCCTTCTTCTCGCTGCTGATGTTGCTGTGCCACCCGTACTGTACAGCTGAACACGTCGACTCGGACCAGGAGGAAAATTGTCAGTTGATGACACGTGACAGGTACCTAAAATAAGCCAGTTCGCAACCTGTAAAGGTAAAATAATAAAAAAATAATAACAACGTTATTTTAAAATCAAGTTGTGTGTTAATCTAAGCGTTGACGTTTAATGTTTACGTTAAACAATAATTTGAAAATCGGTTCATAAATGAACTTTGACTGAAAAAATTATTATCAGACATTTATAACGTATGATAAATTATTATTAGCACTCAGAAATAATTATAATCAAAACAGTTGTGGGCATTGACGACAAAAGAATATACGTTCATCTATTATCAAAAAATTATTTATGTATAATTTTTAAAAAACAACAACAACTGGCATATCAGAGTGCAGGTAACACATTGATCACCAATTTTATTGATAACAAGAACATGGCGACTGATTGTTCTATTCCTGTCTTGTTTACTCAAAAGCAAACAGCAAACCCTCACAAAAGCACAAGCAGAGGACGAACCATCAACACCCAGCTGCGTGCTTTACAACGACAGCAACATACAGCTCAGTACGAACTCAGGTGTTCCCAACAGTGGCAACATGCCAAAAATATCATCTGCTACGAAAGACAGCCTTTCACCGGTTGTTGACGATGCCCTGTTAGAATCGCCAGTACTGTATCCTGTGCTTTCAACAAAACCCACGGAACCAGAGTCTTCCGACTCATCACGGGACCCTTTGAAACCTGAGTCTAATTCTTTAGGTGTTGAGACCACGGTCGCTTTTCAAAGTTCGCCCACAAAAAGTTCGCGAGTTGATGAAAACAATGTTAGCTTGCACGCAGGAGATACTCAAAGTTTGAAGCCTGCTGACGATGAGCTCAACGGAAGTGGTAACGACGTTGAGAGCGAACACCGAGGGACAACTGCGTCGTCGAAATTAGAGTTGTGGTTCCTGCTGGGGCTGTTGGTTTGGATCAACGTCATCCAAACGAGCTTCGTCCTGGCCATCCAAGTCTACTCAAGTCTACCCTACGGCTTGTTTTACTACAACGGTGTAGCCAAGGTGCGCACATTCTCTATTTTTTACACCCCGGTTTTGGTTAAAAGTTTGTGGGTTATTACGAGACAAAGTTTATTGTTTTCAAGAGCGGCGTATTTCGGCAATTCTTATGGCGAAGTGTTTATTTTCCGGTGAAAGTTTATAATTGTGTCGCAAGATTTAAAGAGAATAACATGAGTTAAATGTTTCTTTCGGGTATCTGACCAATAAAAAAATGGGAACCCATAATCCATTTAAACAATGCACATTTTGCATGGACGCTGGTCATCATGGCAGTACAGCATTTTAACGGTATGTCCTAGAATTCAAACAACGAGTCCAAGTCGTGCTTAGGACGCAACAGGTTATTCCTGTACCACAGTTATTCAAAATTTTAAAGACACTTATTTTCACACTGTTCCTTTCCACATGGCCATTATGACTTCAAGATTACCCCCAAATGATTCAATGCGTCGTACTAAAATACAATTTGTATCCGATATAGCATGACTGAATCGATAATACATGTCTCAAAACTGACGTATATTAACAGCTCATGGTATAAGAAACATAAACGACACATTTTTTTGTTCCCTTCAGGATTCCCATTTTACTGGGTTTTTTTTTTTTACATCTCAAATTCAAAGGCTATAAAGGTTGGTGGGTCAACTGTCCATTTAAGAGATCGCTAACCCATTCACTTCCTTCCCCATCTTTGTCATGACATCTCCCATTATCACGTGTCTTATGTGATGCGATGACATCATGCCATCTTTCCCCAGGCCGAGAACATCGTTGACCCCGTCGCTTGTTTCCTCACAATGTGGATGACGACCAAATCGACGAGGGTCATTTCCGGTTTGACGTTGCTGGGGACGCTCTTCAGCGCGTACATCATCGCCCTGGCGGCCATGAGTCCGAGTCCGATCTTGGTACATCACACAGCCGGAGGAATACTTGTGGTCAGTTTATGATGGCTATGTGACACGCCTTCCTTACTCTTGTCTTGCCTTGATGACGCGCCCCTGGCTGAGCTCGGGTGCCACATTAAATACATTCCATAAAAGACAACACTATTGATCTAACATCTCAAGTTGAGCACGTTCAAGACACTGATGTATATGTTACAGGCCAAGTGTGAGATATGGCATGGTAGAGCGTGCCTAGTTTTGTAAATAATGTTTAATGTATTGAATATATTTACTATCATTATAAGACATTCGATACAATGCCTGCATTTCAAACTACGCTTTAACATACGGACAAAAAATACTACAAACCGTCTAAAGATAAACCTTAAAAATGTAAACTTAATACATTTGTATTAAACCATAAGATCTTAATATATACCCAGAGCCCCGGTTAACCAATGTCATTAAAATTAATTTAATTTACTAAAAGTTGTTAATGTTTAATTAATATTCAAATACATTATAATACAATGTCACCAAGAAAGGCCATTGGACATATTATTGTTACACTGTCACTTACATACACTATTAAACATATTACAGTTTCAACATAACTCAAATAGATCATTTCACATAAAACATATACAAAGTGACTCCCACAAACCATTGAACATGTTACAGATACAACATAACTCACATAGATAATTGAACATATTCTACACACTAATGTGACTCACATTGACCATTGAACCTGTTACAGATAGTGGCGTGGGTCATCAGCACCATGATCAACATCTTCACCAAGGTCACCATCGCCAGCGTCATGAGGGGTCATGGCCGAATCTCCCTCATGTGGGCGGGGGGCAGCACTCAGCTGGGCGCTCTGATTGGAGCGATTCTTGCCTATGTCATGGTCAACCAGCTTCATTTGTTCAAAGACAGCCCCTGGTGTGCATAGATCTCAAGAGCAGCAGGGGTTCTCAGTCGATCTTTATTAGGCCGATGTTTTTCTATCAGCACCATGTTAAAGTGACTCCATCTTAAAACTGGTGAATTGTGCATCACTAATTTGAAAGTCACATATGACGTTATACTCTATAAATGAATATTAAATATAAATATTTTTTCTTTACTTGTTTTAAATTTAAATCTTGCCGCTGCTCTTGTTTATGAGCCTTTAAAATTAAAAATGTGACCTCATTATAATTTATAACAAAAAATGTGGTCTTTATTATAGCCTGTTATAAAAAAAATGTGGTCTTTATTATAATTTGTATTAAAATGCTGTCTTTAGCAGTTGTATGTTATTTGTGCTAAATTATTTCCTGGTATGCCAAATTTTGTGTGTCTTAGAAGTAAAATTTTTGTGTCACCAGTACGAAATTGTAGAGTCCTAGTTCTTAAAATAGCCTCACATTGCTGCGATACAACCGAAAACAGTTTTAGGAAAGGATGTTAAATTCCAGTTACCGATTTTGAAACCAGTAACCGGTTGCTTGTTTGTACATTTAAAAACCAATATTCGAATTTTTCACTTTCAAAATATTTATATCTTTTAAATTACACCCTTAAAAATACTTATTACGTAAATAAAAGCTATTAAAATTTTATTACCTCTCTTGAGACGAATGGGCCGAGCTATCGGCCTAAGGTAGAGTCGCGAAAAAGACAGATGGTCCGATCTGTCGGCCCGATTATTAAGGCCTCGAGATTGGCTTGTTGGTCTTCGTACGACCTAATCAGATTGCTTCTTAAATATTCCTGCAATCCTGACCCTTTAATGGTGGCCTTCGTGCATTGTTTACAAGCTTTTGTTGAGGTCAGGGATATTTTGTGTGTTGCAAGAAATATCGTAAAATTCCAAAATGTCTGACAGTGACACTGAACAAAACTATCCTTATTCATTTTGATGTTCTAGCAGTGAATCTGACACTGACAAAGATGACAACAACCAGGAAAGTAATGAAGACTATCAAAATGATCATGTCGATGATAATGTTTTGAACCCTTGGTTTAGTATTAGGGGTCCTCAACTGGATAGAGATAACCCCTCTGACAATATATGTCCTATAAATATGCCTCAAGACATAATCACCTCAATTAAGTACTTTATGCTATTTTTTACACTACATATCAGTCATATGTTTATGAGAGAGACCAATAGGTAACACCCAGCTTAAGAGAACGTAAATACTGAGGGCCTGCTACAGTGAGTGTCTGGGGGCAGGAGAATGAGTAGAACCATGTGCCAGAATTATCTGTATGGCCTCCATGGGTCTTTGTTCCACCCCCCCCCAAAAAAAACAAAAACAAAAAAAAAATACAACAACAAAAAAAAAACAACAACACAAATGTTAGGGCTTGATCCATAAAACAATTCACACAATTGATACAAGTAAGTCATGTTTATTCTAAGTAACAAAAATTACACGAATAAATTATGCTAATCAGGAATGCTCATTTGCATAAATGTTGCCATTTCATTTTGATTGATAAAGATTGTATTAGTTCATTCCAATTCCTCCAAGAATATATATAGTTTCATACATGTAAAGGAAATAGTGTATTTTTTATAATTTTTTTAGGCGATGCGAGTACCGAGCTTGTAAAAAGTGCTCCGTCTTTTTGGCACGTACACCTCCATGTAATCCAGTTTACAAATTAGAACCCATTGGGATCTCGATTCCCATTGGGATACCGATCACGATGGTATCCCGATCCCATTTGGATCCCGACCCCATGTGAGATCCCAAACACCATTGGATCCCATTTCTAAATAGGATCCTATATGGGATTCCGACCCCATTGGTATCCTGACCCCCTTTTTGGATCCTGACACTAATGGGATCCCGATCATGATTGGGATCCCGTTTATAAATGAGATCCGAACCCCATTGGGATCCCGATCCTTTTTGGGATCGTGATCCCGATTATTATCCCGTCTCAAAATGGGATCCTTTAAGCTGCGTAGCTGTTTTGAGTATCCGCGCAGCAAATTTCCATGAATGTGTTTGTTTTTGTGGGCTGTACAACTTTGCACACAAACAAAATGGATACTGTGAAACTCTGCACACAACTGTATGATTTTGCACACGAACCAACAAACCTTAGAGGGAACATAGAGCCCGAGCCCATTCTGTAAAATTATACAAAATCACCATCCACATTGTAAAAGAATCCGGTCGTTTTGATTTCTGTCAAATAATGCAACATTTCTATTACTGTTTTTGTTGAGGAATGCCCCGTGACTTATTCATATCAGCGCCACCTCTATAACATTGTAGGTTAACTCAATCAATGAGTAAACCAGGGCCTCTGTGCTTAAAATCAGTACGGGATATTGGCGAACATAAACAGATTGAAATTGTACTGGACACCCTCCCATCTCACCTAGATTCGGAGCTCAAAACTGTGCACTTGTCATCATAACTTCTATAACAGGTAAGTAAATATTATTGACGAATTCTTTTATTTTTTTATTTTAAATACTCATTTTTCTTTTTCGGTGGCTATGACTTCGGGGGTTGGGGGGGGGGGGTTGTTCTACTAATCTAATTAATCAACGTTTCAGTCAACTCTATAATCCTTCATGATTATGACCTGTTTTGAAAAATATGTTTATTTGCTAGTGGTGAAATGCTTGTCATACTTTTGGATTACTTGTCAAATCCAGATCTATGTAACATAATGTATTTAGTAGCTGGTTACACTTTGATTAACATGCAACATTATTCGTTATACCGATGTATCCACGTTGTTCCTAACTGGTTACTTGTTCATGTTTGTCATAATCAAACTTGAAAGAATCACTACTATTTGTATCATTGCAGGCATTGTACTGTTTCTCACTCTCTGAACCCATGAAGCTCTTAGAACTCAAGAACACGTACTCTCTGAACCAATAAAGCTATTTTTCTCAAGACCTCATTTCATTGAGTTTTTGTAAACTAAATTTACACCTGATGTGATAACCATACCGCTCACCCCTCCCCCTCCCCCTCCCAACCATACACCTCTTCAGAAATAACAGATTTAACTCAAAAAGGAAAGAGCAACGATTTTTTTTAAAAAATAATGGCTAATGTAATAGTCATACGACTCTTAAGGATGAGCGATGACGTCATTTCACAGCGTTTATGTCAAACAGTAGCTTTGACTTGTCATTGGCTTTCGCTTTTATTTTTATCAAAAGAAGTCTAATTATCACCGGAAGTTCACTTCCATCAAGTTGGAAGCTTCGGTAAAACAACAAGTACGGCGTACAAGATCGTTGCTCCCCCCTCCCCCCTCCTTTACCATAGAAAAAAAAACGCTAAGACCAACAAACGCACGGCCTCCTGGGACGTTGTTTCATTTCACTTTTCTTGTCCTAAAAGGTGAACAGACTTTGATGTGTTTGATTAGGCCGGCTCGAACTGAAGTCTGAAGTATGTTGGGTTCAATTAAAACTGTAAAGAATGAAGATGGTCAAATCGGGTGAAATAAAATAAGTTCAGCGGGCGTTTTCTGGGGAAGACTTTAACTTGGTTGGGTTGATGGATAGCTTTAACTTGGTTGGGTTGATGGATAGCTTTAACTTGGTTGGGTTGATGGATAGCTTTAACTTGGTTGGGTTGATGGATAACTTTAACTTGGTTGGGTTGATGGATAGCTTTAACTTGGTTGGGTTGATGGATAGCTTTAACTTGGTTGGGTTGATGGATAGCTTTAACTTGGTTGGGTTGATGGATAGCTTTAACTTGGTTGGGTTGATGGATAGCTTTAACTTGGTTGGGTTGATGGATAGCTTTAACTTGGTTGGGTTGATGGATAGCTTTAACTTGGTTGGGTTGATGGATAGCTTTAACTTGGTTGGGTTGATGGATAGCTTTAACTTGGTTGGGTTGATGGAAAGCTTTAACTTGGTTGGGTTGATGGATAGCTTTAACTTGGTTGGGTTGATGGATAGCTTTAACTTGGGTGGGTTGATGGATAGCTTTAACTTGGTTGGGTTGATGGAAAGCTTTAACTTGGTTGGGTTGATGGATAGCTTTAACTTGGTTGGGTTGATGGAAAGCTTTAACTTGGTTGGGTTGATGGATAGCTTTTTTTTTTTTTTGTATTTAAAAGGAGCCTCTTAATGTTGATGGCATTAATTAATTTTTTTGTGTTTATATGTTCAATTTTTTACTGATCATTTTTTTAATGAGATATCTGTTAGAGATTCCTGGAATTATTGCTCACCCCCAACACTACCTTCCATCGGTTCGGTAATTAACAACTTAACCCCCACCCCCTACCCCCCCCCCTTCACAGAACACATAATGTATGGAAACAGCACTGACCGTTTAAAAAAAAATTAATGAAATGCCATTTCATTTAAATAACATCGACGTACAGTGCCCGGAGAGATAACTGGCCCATGAAATATCCCCCCTGGCAGTCGGTGACCCGTGCATTCTTTGCTCAATGGATATCTCCTATTATTATTAATTAATCTTAGGTACGGGAATATTTATAGTTTACCAGCTGATTAATAGCCAAGATTCTGAATGTAAAACAAAACAACAATTTAATTTTTTTGAAATTAGCAAACAAATACCCAATAACGTTATCAAAGCAAACAAAAAAAAAAAAACAGAAAAGAAAAAAAAACCAAAAAACAAACGAACAAAAACAAATACAACCGATAAGAAGCAAACGAACAACGGAAGTTGTGGCTACTATTTTGACATCCCAAAAACAATTTTAAGGCTTTATAAGAAACTTTTAACAATGTTAGACTAGCTTCCTTGAGCTACACACTGTGGCGAGATACTGTGGCGAGAGACTGAGACAAGACACTGAGGCGAGACACTGAGGCGAGACACTGTGGCGAGACACTAAGGCGAGAGACTGTGGCGAGACACTGTGCGAGAGACTGTGGCGAGAGACTGAGACGAGACACTGAGGCGATTCACTGAGGCGAGACACTGTGGCGATATATGTCATTCGTATACGTGTATTGAATTGATAAAATCTTTTTTTTTTT